GGGAAATCAATTAACAAACGGAGACGTACAGTATATAAGAACAGTTATTAAGCAACAAGATGATCATCAGGATTTGTTTTTTTGTCTGACAACATAATGTAAACATCCTCAACTTTACATCTATCTTTCAGAAAGTTTCATTTTGCCTAAACATCTAATAGAATTTTGCTATGGGTTGATTCATTCTCCAAAGATATAGTATATGCCATATCTCATGAAGACACTGGTAACACCAAGCTTATGCAGTTTCTCAACAGACTTCGGCATGTAATTTCCTATTCACAGCTTGAAAAAAGTGAAACAGTTTTATACATTCAGAAAATGTGGTGTGATAGTTGGCTGAGTTTTCTACCAAATGGCTTATGATAAAGTTGATCACCTGGAGGAGACTTTGATGGGGTGAAGGCCCAAGATATAGAATGATTGGCAGTATTATACAATCGTCTTTGGACCTCATATTCCAGAACTTGAGTTACCAAAGGTTGTAAAATTTGACAACATGTTGTACCAAGTGAGCTAGAATTGCCCATGTACAACCCAGGACAAAAATGTGGACAAATCAGCAACTTACAGCTATGAGAAATAGAGAAAAGGAACAAAGTTATGCATTCATAAAGAGTTTCATATGGATCTTGATGCTTCTAGCAGATCCAACATGCCAGATTATTCATGGATAGACAGGTTTTCACATTGCAGTTTGATTATGAGAGTTAGTAGCATAAGACAAAATTGGTTATTTGCCTAATATGTCAATGCACCAGCAACTGAAATGTTCACTGCTTATGAGATTCTATAGAAAACAAAAGCTATCATGATAAGTTTGCAATTTTCCCATGTGATCCTAGTCATATAATGATATCACTGTATTTTTCTTTATATTTGCTTACAATTTCTGCAACTTCTGTATATAAAGCTTGGTCAAAGACCTATGCATTGAAACAAGTAAAATTGCAGATGGCTCAGTTTCTGCAGTGGTGAAGGGTTGCCATTATTATTGAGCAGTCAGATTTTTAAGCCCTGTTCAAGCTTGCTTGGAAAGGCTTTGTTTCATGTATTAATGATTATCATTCCAACAAAAGAAATATCATCAAGCAAACATTTGAGGTTGTAAGAGACTTTCATAACAAGTGTACCAAAGAATGTTTTCTTGATACTCTTAATAACTAGATCATAATTGCTTCAACAGAAGTTTTTTAAAATTACTTTGAGATTTTATTGAAATATAGTTGCCCCAAAGTCTGCAATCTGGATGTCATGTGTTGACAAGTTGAAGATGATATTCATGGGCTGTTAAGAGCATCACATGAAGGGGACTGGGATCTACACAAAATAGCAAGATAGTTAATTTAAATAGAAGTTTTGAGACTAAGTCTTATCATAAACCAATGTTTACTGGGCAAAATTTTCATTTTGATAGTTTCTTACCTTTTGAAGTTAAGAAGAATCTAATTTATAATATAATTCATCAGGGTTATAATATAGTTAGTTCTTTTTCTGGATTCCATGAGGAAGTACAAAATATAAAGTTTGTATTACAACGTATATTTGTATTGTTTTCCTGTATAGTTAATTAGTAGTATTGTCAAGAATTATTTAAAAACTTTGTACATTCCTAAAATCAGTAAACAGGTTGAAACTAAAGAAATAGTTTATTGTATTCTACCCTGCACTGCTAAACATTCAATAGAATTAATGAAAAAAATTAAAGCAATTTTGAATAACAAAATTTATCCATATATTAAGATTAGAATTGTTTTTAAACCAATATATCGTACAAGTACTTATTTTAAATTTAAAGACAGATTCCCCATAATGCATCACTTTTATGTCATCTATAAATATACATGTCCAAGGTGTAACCTTGGCTATGTGGGCTCTAAAGTTCTTTGTTTAAGTTCAAGAATTAAAGAGCATATCGGGGAGTGCAGTTAGCAAGGAAATACTCTGCACAAAAGAGAGTATGTGGATACACAAGGTGCATCCTGAACTACATGTGAATCAAACAGCATCACCTTTACTTTTGTTATTTCAAGATTTGTACCTTTCATAACAACATTGTTAGTATTTATCCTTTTGAGTGGTAATAATCAGTCAAAAATTTGGCCTTAGCTTTATATACATGCATACATATTTGAGTTGTCGTAATTAAATATTTCAGTTACTTGGTTAGTTGGAATAACAAAAAAGAGTAATAATCAGAAACACTAGTTCCAACAAGGTACCTTATTTCCACTGGCATACACAGCTATTCTCATTCAGTGCTGCCCTCTATTTGCAAAACATTTTTTCACATGCCACAAACCTTTCACTCACACACACCCCTCAATTCATATAGTTTAAATGATTCTTGCATGCAAATTATCATGCGACAAATCTCCACCAATAATAGTGCTACCCACCCACTTGAACCGTGACTCCATCTGTGCTATTCTACTCAACTATCACTTCTTGTTTGGCAGTGCTTGTGTTCAGATGTTTAGTCTGTGCTCTCTTCAAGTTTTTTTTTCCTTGCGTCAATTTCTTTCAACAAGTTTAATATTCATTATACAATAGTGATACTTGTAACTTATTCTGAAGTTGAATTATTTTATATTTCTACCCAGTTATGGAATTTAATACTTCATCACAAATTTTTTCTACATTTTATTTCTTTCTGACAACACAGTTGTGTTTGGTTATTTATTCAGAATTCTAAGTTAACACTATGGAGATTATACCTCCTATCAGCACATTTACACAGGCTTGAGGTGGTGGACCTCAACTGTGGAATTTTCGGCTTTACTTTGTCAATAGATTGATCATCACAGGGGATGACCTTTGTCAGGCTTACACTTGAGTTTGGGGGCCCAAACATTATGAAAGATAAGACATTATACTGTTATGGTTTTTGAATATTTTTACTGTTAACATTATCATCTGTAGTTATTTGGGTTCAATAACATAAGTTTAGTTAGGTTGGTCAATACTCATAGTCAAGTTAAGGTTTGAAATTTGAGCTTAGTTGTATCCTTTATCCTATAATTTTAGATTAAGCTTAACATGGATCTTTGTTATTTTAGGATTACCTAATTCATCTCACTAGTATATAGTAAATTTGGTTAACTATATTGTTGTTCTTCAGAACATCACATCTCATACACAATATTGTCAATACAAACTTACTTAATTTTACAATATATTGTTTATTTCATTTTCGGTATTATTTATCTTTTATACTTCTTCATATTACTTTTGTTTGTGTGGACCACTGAAGGGTTTTTTCACCATGTGATTTGGTACCATTTTCATGCCTAGCCATTCATTATTGTTTCGGTTCTGTATGTGTTTTGACAGATGGTCTGCGTTTTACTCGACTTCTGCATTTTGGGGGAATTTACTAACACTACTACTCGAATGTCTGGTTTTGGTTAGTTCCTTCGAAACGGGGTGGTTGATTTTCCAGTAGGATAAATCTTTCTTATTACCTACCTAACAATTTTGTCTATTTGGAAAATGTCTTTTTTAACACCCACATCCGTCTGGACCATCCATTCTTCTCCTTGAATGCATTTTATGGAGCTTTCTGTTGTCCATGCCATTATAGCTAACTATCTTGCTGCTAGCGAGGTTCTAACGCATTGGGGGATATGGCTTTTATGGAAGCACTTTTCCCTTTGGGTCTGGCACATTTGCAATCTCTTCTGGAGATGCTGCATGACCCATAGTCTCTTGCTAGGGTTTCTTTGCATTCTCCATGTAACTTTTTTCCTTCCCTGTTTGACTATATACGTAGGTGATTGAGCATATCCCCCACATCGTTAGGTTTACCGCTTTATTCCCCTCGTCCGGATTTGTTTCTCTTCCCTGATGCTCATCTCCAAAGTTGAGGGGCATGGGCCAATCAGCAGGAGGCTTCAGGATAATGGTCTATGGACAAAAGATTTTACCATGTTATCACCCTGGCACTTCTGGCAGTCCATGCTTTGTTTCTTTTTCTTCCTCTTGTCCAGATTTTACTAATCATGTTTCATTCCAACTATTTGACAGTTGTTCTGTGTTGTACCTTGAGAAAAATGAAATTTTTCATAATATACTCTGACACTTTTATTTGAAATATAAGATAAATATGAAATTAAATAACTATGATAGCTTTCTATAATATGCTATTATATGGAAAATTGTTGACTTACTCTGTGACCTGATATGTGCTGGTTATTTGTCATTCTTGGAAATTGTGTTATAGAAATATTTAGTGAAACTTTTGTTTAGATACTGGTATACAGTAGTGTGTGATGATAATAATAATACTGGTTGTCATTCAGACTACCTTACTCATATTCCTCATATGCAAAGTTTTATAAAATAGGTTCTCTACATTTTAGCTGGAACTTTACTAAAGAATGCTTAGTGTTTCCTAAGTAAATGATATTATAATTGGTTTTATACATATGCTGTTAAATCTCATAATATCCTATTTATATTTAAAACTTGCTCTAGATTTTGTTGGTTTTGTTTTTATTGAATTTCATGCAAAACTGCTCAAGGGCTATTTGTGCTTGACGTCTCCCTAATTTAGAAGTGATACACTAGAAAGGAAGGAAGTTAGTAAACACCACCCATTCCCAACTATTGGGCTACTCTTTACCAATGAAAAGTGGGATTTATCATCACATAATAACACCCTCATGGCTGAAAGAGTGGTTATGTTTGGTGATGGGATTTGATCCCCCAACCTGTGGATTGTGAATGAAATGTCATTATTATTGAACCATGCCATGCTCTTACTTTAGAAACCTTTGAATGTGATAAAATTGGCAGGAATGATATGTAAATGGTAAATAAGCAAGAACATATATACCTATTGAATTCTAAGCATTTAACCCTTTTGTTGACCCATTCTCAGTCCGTCCGGTGTAAGTAATATATTTTTATAAATAGGAAACTTATTAATCAAAGTAGAAATAATTGATGTGTTTAGGTTAAAAAGTGTTGAAAAATAAGCTCTGATTTGAATATTTATTATGTTTTGTATTTTGTTTGCATGATTTAGTTTTTGTGCTATTTTGGTTGAAAGAAATGTTAATTAATGTATATTTTTATGTTATTTGTATTAGCACAGTCATTCTAGTCTTCCCTTGTGCTGCTCAACATGTTATTTGTTTGGATTGTTTCCGTGAGTATTGCATCAGTCGTCTAAATGAAAGAAACTTTGTTCAAGATGAGAATTTTGGCTACACTCTTCCATGTGCAGGTTAGGAAAAAATCACTTGCTTTATTTTTATATGAACTGTGTATAAAGTTTGTATTCTTTTTTTTCTATGCTCATGAAAATTTAAGAATTGTCTTTAATGTGTGAAAAGAGTATTAAGATAGCATGTTTTGTACACATTATTCAAATTATTTTAAAAACTTTTGTCTTTCATATAAATTTTCTTTGTAGACTTAAGATGATTTAATTTTGTCTTTTATTATTATACCAAGTTCAAGATGAATTTTACAGGTAAACTGCATTACTGTTTTGCTCATGTTGCTATGAGATTAAGGTTTGTTCCAAAATCACAAATTTTTAATTTATAAAGTGGTATATAAGTATAGCAGAAACACACCCACATACAATTTGATATTTTTGAGTGTTAAGCATATACTATGTAAGGCAAGTATTAAAATGTTAACTCAGTATATTCCAATTACCGTGTAATTTCTGTGATGGTGAAATACACACTTTTCAGAATGTTAGTTTATCATATTTCAAACATATTGGTTGATTTTTGTAAGAGGGAACCCTATACACTACCCTGCGACACTCATGACTGAATGACAGGCCTATGATTATGTGGAAGGTATGGGAGGAATTTATTTTAATGTATTGACCACCAGATTGTTACCAGGGCCGTCTGCCGTCTTAAGAATATTTGAGGCCCCCCGGCAAAGTGATGTACTGCCCCCCCCCCAACAACACATTAAAATTTAGTTTTTCAACTGAAACATTTGCGGCATTTCATTACAGAAAATTACTTTACAATTGGTTGAAAGTCTCTGTTTTTGAGGATGTCGCTTTCAATGCACATGAGGGAAAGCAGATTCAACCGCTGCTGTCCCATTGTGCTGTGAAGATGATTCTTTGTAAGTGAATGCTCCTGGGTACAGTTGGTCACCATCATGCACATAAATATTCTAATTGCAATTTCAACACTGGGAAATACAAATTTCAACTTATCTGAAATGAGTTTGCTGTACATGTCTGGAAGAGTCTTGCATTCTTCATTGTGGACAATGTAGTGATTGAATTGGTTGCATTCATTGAGTAATTCATTGTAATCAAGATCTTTATGATAAGCATCAGCCAATTTTTCACACCTTTGACTAAGCTCATTACAGTCAATTGTTTTTAACTGACTGAAGAAGGAAAACAAATTTCCAGCAGTTTTGTAGGCTTCTGCACGTTTAGTTAGGTGAGAGTTCAGAGAATCCAGAATAGGAAGGTATGTTTCCATCTTGAATTTTTCACTTTCATGGAAAAGTATCTGTTCTGCTGACCCATCATATGTGGAAAGATGCACACTTCGCTTTCTTGCACGTTTATCTCCATCGCTATGTTTTGAATCTGGACACCTGCTTTTAGCCTTCGCTTCATACTCACTGAATTTGTCTCTCATTTCCTGAAGATAGGCTTTCAGAGACTTGAGGACATCAATGGCAACAAGTATGTCCACATCTTTTGACTGCAAAATTTTACTTGTTTTGGTCACTCTTTCCAGAATGTCATTCCAAAGAATTGTCAAAAAGATAATCTGTAGCTTCTCCATTTTCTTGCTCAATCCTTCTGCCTCGCATCTTGTGTTCCACTCGTGATCAGCGTCAACTGCAAGGGCATCCAATGCATCTTGAATTTTCTCAAAACCTCCATGAAGAGCAGTGCCACCATCAAAATGTGCTGACCATCTCGTGTCAGAGAGACACTTGACCACAATATGATTCTTTCCCAAGGATGACGTCAGTACATTCCAGCGATGTGTGGAAGTCAAGAAAAAGGAATTCAAATGCTGAACAAAGTAAAAAAATGAGATGATCTGTGGACCACACTCTGCCGCTTTTACTCTCACCAAGTTCAGACTTTGTCCAGCACAAGGAATATAGATAGCAAATTCATTTAGTTCACGGATCCGTGCTTGCAATCCAGTGTAGCGTCCAGACATATTTGAGGCATTGTTATAAGACTGACCATGGCAGTTTGATAACGGAATGTTGTTCTCTTGCAGGAACTCTACAACCGTGTCTGCTAAATTCTTTGCTCCGTGAGAAAATATGGGGATGAATTTGAGGAAACGTTCCACCGGCTCACATCCACGAATGTTCTGGACAGTAAATGTCAGTTGATAAATATGCGAGATGTCCGGAGTGGAATCAACATTTATTGAATAATACTTTGACTCTTTGATTCCTTCCAGAATTGCACAAAATACCTGTTGTCCCATTATTTCAATAAATTCTTCACAAATGTTTGCCGATAGATATGATGGGTTCCCCTTTCCAGCATTTCCGTACACTTTTAAATGTTCTTCCAAAAAAGGGTCAAACTCACTCAATGTTCTAGAATGCCAAGAAAGTTTCCATTTTTTGAGGAGCCAATAGTTTGATTCTCCCCATGAAATGCCAAACCTCTGAAGGCAAGAAAGTGGATAATAGAAATCACATGCTTTAACACTTTATGCCAGTACTGCTTTTGTGAATGATGCTGACTTAGCAATGCAGAATCCACACAATCACTTCCTTTGTGCCAAATCGAATATTCCAACAGGCACCTGCGATGTTCTTCTCCATTTTCATGCTCTACAATGACATTGCTGTGTTTCCAATCATTGAATCCTGGTGTAGTAGTTATGTGGTGTAATATGAGCATATTTTAAACATTTTTGATCAACAAAACCGTAAATGACTCAGTGTGTAAGCCTAAGCTCCATTTACTGTACAAACATATGTTAGGCTAACAAGCCTAATGTTAGAATGCTTCGAACAGACTAGTGTATCAGTTTTTTGTTTTATTTTCGATTTAACTTCATAATCATTAATATTATTATTATAAGAAATTGTTTTTTTACTTCGCTGGACAGTATGGTACCCAAACAAGTAACAACTAAAATTTCAATGATATTTACTGTATCTTCTGGCTGATCTTGAACTATGCCATGGGGGATACTTTGGGTTGCTGAAAAACGTTGGTATTTTTGCTAATAATTAGGCCATGGAATAAAAACACTGGCTGAGGTGGCACTATTTGTTTATTATATATCAGCTGCATACTCTGAGCTGTTTGAGAGTTCATTCAACTTTTAACAGCTCTTGAACATTTGCATTAGGACTGCTTGTGTTGTATTGCACTTATATAAAAATGCAAAAACACGTACACAAAAATGCAAAAAGTGCTGAAGTGCTGCACTGCTGCTGTGCCAGCCAGGTAAGAAGGCCCCGATTTCACATTAATGCCATTGCTATTTAATAATATAAACTTTAATTTTTATTTTTCAAATTGAATCTCAAGGCCCCTAAAATCACGGGGACCCCGGGCAACTGCTCAGTGTGCCCATGCGATAAAATGGCCCTGATTGCTACTGTAATCAGCAACAGTTTGTAGTGAAGAAATAAAATGTGAGGTAGAATTAATACAAAAATCATTTGATGTTTGATAGTCTGTTGAACAAGGAAAGTTTAAGCTTAGGATTGACTTTTTAAATAAGTATACAGATGAATGCTCTGAGAAAACAAAGTCCAACTTTTCATTAGCAAGTCTAATTTCTTTCAGAAGAACTGTTTAGGTTAAAAATAGTAAAAAAGAAGTAGATGAACAATATCTCTTAGAAAATACTGAATACAGTGATTCTCTGTAACTTTAACTAACTGAGGGGTCATATTACATTAATTTGGACTTTCGTAAATTTTATTTTATTCTTTAACAAAAACTTTGAATTGTTAATAGAATTGTATATTTTAAATATTTTATTTTAAATAATGCCAATATTGTCTGTTACTGTTTGATTGATTATATTAAAATTCTTGCAACAAAAGTTGTAGAAAACATCCAAAATTTGTAATGGAAGAATTTTGGTAAAACTATAAAATTATTGATAATGCAGGTTGTTAGCCCTGGGTCATTTTCTTTATAATAAATGTTAGTTAATTACATCCTTAGCATACTGGATGATGTCTGAAACTGTGAAACTTTCACTACATAAGACATATTTTTTATATTTGAATTATACTGAATTATGTTTCAATCTTTGAAACAGGTACAATGAGTTAGGGTTACCTCAGCAGTTCATTGATTCACACATTTTCTCATATTGATCCACAATTTGCAATAGTGTTCAGTGTATTCATATACCTTATTAAAATTTACTGATCATTTCTTGGGCTGCATAGTCTGTAGTTGCAAACCTGGATTCCAATTCTAGTTGCATTTATATCAAGTCACATGACTAGTGGTACTTGTTTTGCAAAACAATAAACTTGGGGATGCTAATGACATTATTTAATAATGGTAGTTGTACTTTGTCACTGCTATGGTGTAGAAAACTGTGAGTATCCCTTGATTATTTCAGCATTATATTTCTCTGTTTTGACAATTAAATTTTTTGTGCAACTTAAATGGATTCTAAAATCAGATATTATTGGCAAATTATTTTCTGCCTCCCTCCTCGAAGTTATATTTAGTATTTTGTGCTGAACATATGAACATATTTGTTATTTAAACTATTTAAATACAGCTGGCTGTACTGACTCCCTGATCAAAGAAACTCATCACTTTAAACTTCTGGGAGAAGAACATGTAAGTACTTTCAGGTAATATTTATTTATTCATTCTGTTTTGGTTCTCAAAAATTTTAGAATAATTTAAAAAAATACTTTGGTGTCAGGTTTTGTGTATACATATAAATATGATGACTGTTTCCAATTGCCTGTAGTTATATATTTTACGTTTACATTGTACACAACAGTTGACATAGATTCTGTTTTAAGATTTTATAATCATATTTAGCATTAATATATTGAGGAATTTTTATTATGACCTATATTTGTTGAATTATTTGTTGCAATATTGATACGATATTTACGTAGATGCATTTTGAGTTAGTGTTTATGTTTTTTTGAGATTTTAATTTTCAGGTGTAACAATGAGGATATTATTTGATAAAACATAAAATTGTATGCTACTTGCTGAATGGCCATCATATGACTCTAAATGCTGATTGATTTTTCTTTGAAAAATTTAAATAAATGTTTTATTAACTTGTTTTCTAAAAATTATATTATAGTAACAATATATGTATAAATAATGTTTACACTTTTCCCTGTTGTCTTTGACTTTGCAATCCCTCATGTTTCAGGTGTGCATACTTCTCCATTTTCCAATCTCATTGTTTCTGATTAATGAACAATAGCTTTTGTTTATGTAGATGGTGCTTATTTCAGATACCATCAGTGGGATTTTGCCCCTTCTTGGAGTCTAGTTAGACCTGTTGTCTAATGGAATTTCTCCTATTACTCTTGATTACCTTTGAGTGTGACTTATTTGCGAGTTTCCTATTGTAAGCTCTCCCTTTTTACTGAGTCCTCTTTCCAGGGTTGGGTTGAGGGTCTGTAGTCATCTTGGATATTCCATTTTGATATCAGAGATTTGAGTTGTTCCACATGAATATAAGGAGTTTCTACCCTTGTTACACCACCACTGTGTTTTAGTACTCACAGAAACTTCAACTGTGGTGACATATATATATTATATATATTCAATTGTTAACACATTCTTGCAGATATTCCTTTGTGAAATGAAAGCACACCCTCTCATTCATCTATCTTTTGGAGTTGATGCCTGCAGAAGTTGCTTTCTTGTCTTTCTACAACTCGTTAACAGCCAGTTTCATTTTTTCCTCTATTTCTTACTTCTTTTATGATTGAGTGCTTGTCTGCTTCAATTTCAGGCTACATAACTGCATTCTGAGCCATTTTCAGATGCAACCGAAATCATGTGTCTTTATCAGACCCATTCTTTCTGTTTCTTAAACAAGTTTTTATCTTTATTATCTTAATAATAAGTTAGCACAAAGGATCACATATAAAGTGTAATTAACTGAAAATAAGACCCAAATTCGAGCGCCCCCGAATAGTCAACTATTTTAAAACGCCCCCATTTTGGGCTTTTTTTTTGTTTATTATTTTTTTTTTTTTATTTTCAA